GGGCCCGGGCGCGGGCGCGGGCGCGGGCGCGGGCGCGGCGCAGCGGCGCTGCCAGCGCGAGAACTGCGCGTTCTACGGGCGCGCCGAGACCGAGCACTACTGCTCGTACTGCTACCGCGAGGAGCTGCGGCGGCGGCGCGAGGCGCGCGGGACCCGGCCCTGAGCGCGGGCGGTCGCCGGAGGACGCGCCTTCCGTGCGTCGCGGTCGCTGCCGCGCGCCCGCCGTGCTGTGGCGCGTCTGGTCCGCGTCCTCATGGTGCCTGAACCTGCACTGACGCCACTCAGGTAGTAGCCGGATAGGAGACAAGTCATACCGGGGGGCGGGCGTGCCGCGAGGGCGGCCTGGCGCCGGGAAACTCAACAGCCATCGCGAGAGTATTTTTGTTCCTCTACACGAGAAATAAAGAAATTCGCAGCCCTTTGTTTTTAGAAGGGAGTGTTTTACATGCTCTTGGGTTTTGTTCTGTCCTGGCCCGGATGCAGGCGCGCGTCCCGAGTCCCGAGAGGGCAGGCTCCGCCGCCGCCCTGGGGTCCCTGCGGCCGTGCAATCACGGCTCCATCTCATCAGCAAAGCCTCTTCCCCAGCCCCGGCTCAGCCACACGCACACTGCCACCCCGCCGCGAGCTGCGTAGACGTAGAGGGGTGCGGCCAACCTACCTCGCAGGGCGTGGTGGGATGGAGCGACCACTGCCGGTGCCGGGAGCTTTCCGAAGAGCCCAAAGCGCAGGCTTTCGAGCGCTCACTTTGGACGTGCCCCGTAGGTGAGCAGAGGTGGCAGCCCGCGCGTCCCTCCTCTGAAGACACTTCCACGGTGGACTGCCGCGGGAGGGCCCAGCGAAGCGGCCGTAGGCGCCCGGGAGAGAGGCCGGGAACCGAGCCCCTGGTCACTGTGCGAGCCCCACTAGGCTGCTCCTCTTTCCAAAGGGAAGGGTTGCGGGATGCCGGGAAGGAAGCCCCCCACCCCACCTGCATCTGCCTGGGCTTAGCCAGATTAGGGGGCGCACTGTGATCGGGGCCCCTCCCGGGGCGGAGTGAAGCTGTCTCTGGCTCCCCGACACTTCGAGGGCGCGGCCCGATTGGTCCCTGAGCGGTCTCTTTTTTGGTGCCTCCTACATTTCTTGAGGGGAATAAAACGTGTCCTTAGCCACCCTGTTCTGAGCAGCAATATGCAGCCTCTTCCTTCCAAGATTACCTCTGGAGAATACCATTCTTGGCCAAGGACATTGAGCAGCTAAACCTGCCTCACTATGGGACGATCTCGTTTCCAAGGAGTATGGATAAGATGGGTAAAATCCTCACTCACAAAAGAATTCTTTAAAACCTGCGAGAGCCTTAGAATAGCCTCTGATAAAAGACGGGAGAAAGTGCCCGGCTTTGCTGTATGTCCTCAGAAAATGCAGGAGGTAGACCATCTCTTCATCGGAGCCAACTTCTCCTCCAGAAAGGATGCTTTTTTTCCCCTGACTAAAGAGCAGAAAAGCAAAAAAAAAAGGGGGGGGGATTTTTTTTTTACTTGTTTGAGAAATTATAATAAAATAACTATCTCCTGTGAGTAATTCCTTTTTGTTTTTAGTTATTGCACAACACGTGGAGTTTTTGGTAATTTACTCAAGTTTTGCATAAGTGATTCCTTAAGTCAAAATTATTTATTAAAATAGAATCGTTAAGGAATTTTTTGAAAGTTTTACTTTTCCTGCTGAACAATACTTCAGTGTGTGGTAATTACTATACTAACATCCATGTCCCTAATATTGCTGGGGTTTCTTTTATTACTCAAAAAAAAAAAAAATTTTTTTAAGCTCACATCGAGAGGGTTTATGGCAGCTTTTTGGACTGATTCCTCATGTCACGCATGTGAGCAACTGCTTTGCCATTCAAAGCTGTGGGGTCACAGGAAGCGTTGCTTCAAGTGTAGACACCAGCCGCTCCTCATACTCCTTACTCTTAGAAGGTTGAGACACCCAACCTTAAAAACACTTAAATCGTGCATTCAGAAACTAAGCTCCTGTGCACCAGAAGTCAAGGAGGCAGAAAGTCCATTCATGTTTGCTTTTCCCATTTCTGAATGTAAAAACAGCCAACCAGAAATTTCCAAAACTGGCTATGCAAATCCTTTCTCTTTCTCATGCTCTCCGCCAGGTTTTTGGTTTTTTGTTTTTTGTTTTTTAACTAAAAACCTACTATAAAAACGGTCCATTGTCATAGAGGAAAGCCTTCCAAGCCAGGCAGAGCAATATGTACATATCATCAGAACACAGGGACCTGTTCTGTCCTTGCGATCCATGTTACCTTCACCCCGCCACCATCTGATGGCAGATGTGCCCTGAATAAGAGCCTGAGATGCAGCCACGGGCCCTCTGTGGGCCCCACCTTCTCTGGTGCCTGTCAGTACCTGCTCCAGGCTGACACATCTCCCCTTGGTCTATGTCATTTAAGAACAGCCATTTCCTTTTGTGAGAGATCTGGATCCGTCTTTCCTCCAAACAGCATTAAAAACGCAAAAGGAGAGAGCCTCTGGTTATCTGAGATTTACTAGTCCTGTGCCCTGGCAGTGTGCTCTGTGTTATTCCAAAGAGCTCTTTAGACCTGGTCCCTGGCCAGAGACCAAGTTAGCTTATCAGGCTGGCCAGGAACTGCTAGAAGCTGTTGACTAGAGGTGGGCCATGGGGTTCCCTCACATTCTATGACTTGAGGGCCCTTTGTGGAGCCAGCAAAGGGAGGAGGGTGAGTCCCACCATCCCACCAGAGTGTGGCCTGCTGTGGTGACTGTCCCTCCCGAGAGCAGCCTTCCCCACCTGACCTGGCCAGAAGTCCCTTTCTGGAGGGGGCAAATGTCTTTAAGCGAAGGATCCCAGATACTGCTAAAACCCTGTGGAGTTTATTTCAGAAATTTGCTTCACTCTTCTGCACATGCGTTATCTGGGTAAATGATTGTTTTACAATAATACGTTACAATAGTATATAAGGGAAGATGTTTTCAGTGTTTTCTGCTTGTAGATTTTCTGGCGTGTTACGTTGAACTTTTATAAGCCACGTTTAAACTATACCATAGAAATTATTTTTATATTATTTTCAGAACATGCTACAGAGCAATATTTTGCACCCTTATTGTCACAGGGTTGTCCCTTGGAAGGGTAACAAGGTGGGAACAGGCTCCACTGTGGGCCCCTGGGGTTTAAATGACTGGCTACTTGTTCAGATACGCTCTGAAAGTGGAAATGCATTATTTTAATTGAAAGCTTGATTTTCTTTTTTCTGCTCATAGGTTTTTGGTACTGCACCTTTCCTCCTAATTGAATACTCTATATTCAGAAAGTTACTGTGCACTCTTTTTTAACCTGTTACCACCCAGTGGCATTTGAATCTGTAACTTTCCACATTGAGTGTTTTCTCAACTGATTATCAATTCTAGTAACTTACATGAAGATTCAGGTGGCTCCAGATCAAAGGACTGGCCATGCCCCCCAGGTGTAGACCTCAGAGTGTAGACATCCTCCATTCAGCACCCACTGTGTTTCGGGGGAGGGATCGTGGGGACACACCCCCCTCCCCAGCATCCACAGCCTATTTTGAAAACTACTCTACTTGCAAAAATAAACTTAACCTAGAAAAATATACTTCACATTAGTTAAGGAAAAAGGGCTGTACCTATCAGAGGTAGGAAATTGTGCAAGAAAAAAAAAAAAGACTGCCAAACCTGTGTGTTTAAGTGCCATTCCGTGTGAGTCTTTGGTCTGCGAAGGGACTTGGTGTAAGAGCTGAAGGCGTCTGCTGCGTGTCTGGGGCTTCTTCCTTTGAGACGTGATGCTTTTTCCCTCATCTTGGTGTGGACTTTGCAAGTGAAGTTCCTTCGATGTTCTTTTTTTCTCTTTCTTTCAATGCCTCTAATAAAGAAGAAGAACAGGTGTTGCAGAGGCCCAGGAAGCCTTGCCTCGTCAGACAGGCCTCACCAGCTCTGACCTCATTCCCGCTGGACTGCTCTGGCTGGCAGTCTGGTTCTGCTATCACCTGAGGACACACATACCACACGAAGGGCCTGAGATGGCCGATACACTGGGCGCCAGAGAGCAGGCAGCCCCCTCCAAAAAGCCTTAAAGCCGTGGCTTCCTGGAGAACTCCAGGCACCATCTTCCCACTTACTCCTGACTCTAAACTCTCTTTTCTACACTGGCCCTTTTGGGTGTGGCTCTCCAGGGCAGTGACCAGGCTCTCAGCCTTGTTCTGGTTTAGTTCAAAACCCCCACCGCGTCCATTCCTCAGCACTGAGTCCACTGTGCCAGAGCATGTTTCTGCCAGTGCCGCCTCGCGGACGCAGGC